CTCACATTGGAAGGCATATGGTGGTGGGAATTTATTGCGATTCCACATACTATTCTATGCAGAAAGGGGCTTTGAAATATGAAAAGTGGTTCATCCACCCTAGACCTTTCCTCTCTTTCTCCGTTCAAGTATATTTCACATCCTGGAGATGGAGAAGGCGTGTCTGCGTTATTCATTAGAGCGCGTTGCGGTGGCTGCGACCGTCACGGAACCTTATCATCCTGTTTTTGGCGGGATAACGTGGTGCTATCATGTCCGTGCCCAGTACAACAGCATGAGCCACGCTGCTTCAGCTGAAGTGCGCAGCCACGCCCCTTTCGTTTCCGTGATATGGGGTGTACGAGACATGTCGTGAAGTGGAACGCGACGTCATATCATGTCTTAACTGTAATATTAGAAAGAATCAGCGCACTTCACTACAGATTTACGCCTGATTTGTTCTGTAATATTTATGCCAAGAATTCACGAATAGCCTTTTAAGCCGGTGGAACGTTTGGAACCGTCTACAAGGCTCTCAAGGATGGACAGTGTGTGATAGCAGTGAAGCAAATACGAGTAAGAAGAGATGTTGTAAAGGTGAATACACGGCATCTTCCTCCTTTATTCGCTTTTTTGTTAGCGATTTTCATTTTTTTTTCTCAGATCCTTAAAGGAGAAGTGGATATTTTTTCTAATCTCAATCACAAAAATCTCGTCAAATACTACGGGTGTGAAGTACGGCAGGTGAGTTTTCTCGGAGTTGGGCTCATAACTCGATATCAAATCGTGAATTTGTTCACTCTTGCAGGATGAAGTTTTAATTATGATGGAGTACTGCTCAGAGGGTACGTTAGAAAGAATTTGTCGCGAAGGTCTAGATGAAGAGTTGGTGAGGCGCTACACTAACAGTCTGCTTCGAGCAGTTGCTTATATGCATAGCCAAAAGGCAGGCGTTGATTACCACGACGATTCAGGAACTCCAGTTTGATTGACTGTTTTTAGGTAGTCCATCGTGACATAAAACCAGCTAACATTTTCTTGGATCTGCACTGCGTGTTGAAACTGGGTGATTTTGGATGCTCAGTACGTCTACGAGATCAAGCGACAGTCTATGGAGAGATCGCTGAGTACGCGGGGACTGTACAGTACATGGTTAGTAATCAGTACATCGATCTTATTAGGGTTCTGAAGACACTCTCAGCGCTCAATTAATTCGTGCGCGTCTTTCTTTATACAAGTGGTCTGACTTTCAATCTCTAATCGTTCCACTTTCGGGGTTTCACAAGAAGTGATGAAGGCACTGCGGCCTTTATAATTGGCAGTCCTGCCGCTTACCTAGTTGTCCCACCCAACAGATCTCAATGGCCATTTCCTATCACGCAGTTCTTACACCGTGCTTTTCATTTCTTTACTGTTACATGGTGTCAACATTGAATGAAGCGAAGAAACGTCTTGTGAGCCAGGGGTGGCAGGATATCGCTTTGCTGACATAGAATGAGCAGGTCCGCCGGACAACTCGTATAGTGAGGGTGGAAGAGGTCCCACTGTGTTTTGCATTTTTCTGATTTTTTTCCCTGGAGTGGCAACCATACAGGGGGGGGGGGCAAAAAAAGTCACTTTGCCTCATTGACTTTCGAGGCGCTATAAATTACACTTTATCAAATTCTGATCGGACATTTTTACTACCATATTGAAGAGCATATTAAGTACTATCACGACACTCCGCCACAGCCTTCTGGACGAACGCCATCGAGAGATTCTGGCACGCGACCGCGATGTGGTACCTGAGATCAGCGGGGTAGTCGATTTCTCCGCCACCGTAGACCACCCTCTTGAAGTCCGCCCGAACTAGGTAATTGAGTGGGTTCAGGTCAGGGGACATACTTCAATATTACATCTTCTTCAGGTACGAAACGCCCTTCCATTCGAAGTAGGCGGGAGTTTTTCCAAAACCCTTTGATTCCATGTGGTGGCACCCAAACCTGTAGCAGCACAAGGTCTCCAAGAAGGTACGGGCGACCACATGTAGGGAGGATTCTTCTCGAGTTACTTGATGTAACCGCCAGCGCTCACCTTCAGTCGGGGTCTACAAAGAAAATATCGGTCTTCCCATTCCAGGTACCCCGGTCCATACCATCAACTCGCGCCTCGGCGAATACGGTGAAGATGATGTCCTAGACCGTAGCGACGTTGCCGAAGCTGCTCGATGTGGGAGGTCTTGCAGATCAAGAGTACTGACCTCCAGGTAGCTATCTGTGGATGACTTCATTCAAGAAGTTTCGCAGCTGTTTGGAGGCGACGTGAATTCCAAAGGTGTTCTCCAGTCAGGCCGCGACTGGAGATGACTTCATATTTTGGTGTACATGAAGGCGATGGCGGCAGCCTGCTCCAGCTTATAGAGGAAGATCTTGGGTATCTTCCACCCTGGTACTCATATCCACTTCCCCTGTCTGGGCTGCGAAAACTTCGCTGATATGTGACTCGGCCGGAATGACTTTTTTTTGGCCCCCCTGTAGGTTCGTTATTGAGCGCCTCTAGCCATAATATGTAATCGCAGCATTTGTCTTTCAGTCTTTTTTGCCCCTTCCAAAGCACTGGTGACTCTAATCCTGCATAGTGATAGTAGATAGAACTCACAATGCTGAGCAGTCCTTTCTGTGATATGTCTTACGCGATTTATAATAAAGGTCACTAAATGACATTCAGCCTGACAATTACTTGCTGGGTCATGTGGTGTACAATTCAGTATCTTTATTCCGCCAAATGAGTCTGGCGGCAATAATCCTGCCCTCGCGAGATGTAAAGTGTTTAGTAAGTCCGGGCGTGAGCCGGTCCAAGCCTGGGCTCCGCACCACACACGTGGTAAAAGGCGCCATTCTCCTTTGTGCCACCTCAATTCCCGACTTATGGTTAGCGGTAGATTTTTAAATTGTGATTTTTGACTTTCACTTTTTTGTTTTGGGTTATTCTTACATGAAAGGAAACAAAACTGTAGGGACCTCACCCAATCGCACTCAAGTTTGAGCTGGATGTTGTTTTACCACCCCCCTCCCCCCTCATCTTTTCTTTACAAACGAGTTTTGATTTTCTTTGAGTGATTCACTATTTTCGCTTTTTTTTCAGGCGCCAGAGGTTCTAACCTATGGTGGCATGTCGGAAGACGGAAAGTATCGAGGATATGGCAGAGCCGTTGATATTTGGAGCATTGGTTGCGTTGTATTGGAGATGGTTTGTTTTAATATCATTATTCGTTTGGCATACATTCCGTTTTTTGATCGGATGTGATTTTGCAAATATTGACTCGGCAGTTTATGGGATTTTCAGAGCACTGGTCGACAACCATGGCCAGATATGCATCCGTTCCAGATCACTATGAAAGTAAGTGTAAGCTTTGATTAGGGTTGTTTTGTTATTACACTCTTGTAGTTGCGATATTTGTCGGTGATTGTTTTGGGACTCTTACCCCAGTTTCACCTTTATAGGTCTGTCAGGGAGGTCTGCCAGCGTACCCGAATCCAATACGAAGGATACTGAAACATTTCTTGGATTCATGCTTTGTCTTCAGTCCTGATGACAGGAAATCCGCTGATCAGTTGCTTCAGGATCCATTTGCAAATGTCCACGTTGGTATACTCTGCTTTTTTGAGAAGTCTTTTTTCAATGATTTTTATAGGTCGAGGGGTTTTGCTTCATGGCAGAGAATGTGTTTCGAGAACTCTACGACCACTTTCTGTAAATATACAATACTCCTTTGAATACATCTACTATATGGTCTTTTTAGGTGGATGCTGATTCCGTCCTCCAATCGGTCGTTGCCCGAAACGTTCCCGAGATTATAACAGAGAACAGACACTCCCATTGGCAAAATAGTGGTGAGCATAATAATGGCAAACATGGTAATAGTGGTAGTGACAGTAGTGGTTGCAACAGCGGTAGCAGGTAGTAGTTTGTCTCTTAGAGTTTTGATTACGTGCTTTGTAGGGTTTTCTCTTTCCTTCGTCGTTTGTTTTTCTCGAAAATTCCGCAAAAATGGCTTCCTTGTTGTCGTCCGCTGACCCAGTAGAGTTGATATAATTCTGCGGTCCGGTTTGCTTCCGGAGTGGAAGAGGATTATTCAATGGAAACACTACTTGTCTCTCGTTTTTTTTTGGTATTCCAGTGCGCATAGCAATGAGAAAACCCCTTCTTGAGAATTTTATAAGGAACCCCCTTAACATGCAGCCACTTTTTCTGGAAACGGGCTCGACCTGAATGACCTCCCTGAGTGTACCGTGCCGTCTAGAAGGCACCATCCGAGGTTGTCGGTGGGCAGCACGGCGCAGTTCGGCGACGAGAGGGAGATATTTTGCACTTTCGCTGCTTTCCATCGTCGTCAAGCCATCAAGTAGGGATTTGTAAAATAGCCGCGACGGCGACCCGACCACGAGAAACAGCGAAAATGCAAAATGCCCCTTCGGAAACTGCGCTAGGGCGGGACCATGCAATAGTTCATCGGATCCTCTTTATCTCCTTTCCCCCAGAAGACGGAAATAGGAGGCAAGATGGTGGGTCAGAGAACTTTGCTTAGCAATTCAACGAGGACCATGTCAATTGGTACTTCTTGCAGTCGGCTCTGCTGCAGGTATTTGTTGAAGTATACCTACAATCTTTTACAAGATTGAAGGGCTTTATTAGGCTTACGTTTTGGCGCCATCGTTTTCGTCAGTGACCTTCCCCCTCAAGTGGGTCAACTACCCAAGACAGTTCCTTCGAACAAGTTAAGCACACAAGGGCATGTACGGCTGTAGTTGACTGGCTTCAGGGTTCAGTCTGAATTCTTGTCAGCATAATAGTAGCCATTTCTCTTTACGATGTGACCCGCTCACCTACGCCCTGTTATCGCCGTATCGTCTGGCGTGTTCGGTTCACTTAAATGATCTTTGATACCTTGCGCAAAACCCCGAGAATGCATACCACTATGGGAAACCTAAAAGCGGTTGTTCCATATCTGACCTTCGTTTTCGGGTCAGAGAGGAGCGAGCATTTTCCCTCCACCATTTTTTACTTCTGAGCTTGTTGCTCCAATTATTCCGTTATTGCCAATGTGCACAACCAGTTCTGCAGTTAGCTGTAACTGGATGAGTATGTTTTGTCGTAAGTTGGAGCAGAAGAGTCATGAAGTTCCATCATTAGATCCGAACTTATTCGAATTAATTCCTCCTGGAATTTCTTTTCTGGCTGCGGGTTTAAAGCGAAATTTTCGAGGAAAAATGCGAAGAATATTCCTGGCACTTGTTTCCCAATGGGAACAGAGGCGTGTTGTTTTAGTTGAGCTTATATTATGTTGTAAATACTCCGTTTGTTGAATCTATGAATTCAAAATGCTGTAATTGACCTTAATACTTGTAATAATTTTTAAAAAGATATATAACCCAAATTCCTCGAATCTCGTGCGATATCATTGAATAATACCTGAACGATAAACATTCTTGGTGCCTTAACATTATGCCGGTTTTATATTGTATATTGTAGCGTTGTGCTCTAAGTTTTCAATAAGTCAACCATATTATTAATTAGAGTGTACAATACAGTTCAGTATTAGTTACGTGCGAAAACTGTTGTGTTTTTCATGTTGATTGTGATTGTTGACGTTTAATAAATTGTTTCCAGCGCATCGATTTTGTCTATGAACGTGATTGCAGTTCAGTGATACCTTTGTGATCAGTGTTTTGTTGTTTGCTCTGTTGTTTTAATACTTTGCTATGTTCTCCATACAGTTAGGAATTTCGAAGACCTCTCTGAACCTTCTATGATCCACTGATCATGCTTGACTTATTTGTACGTACTTTCAATTCGTCCGTCATGATTTTTAGCGCCTTCTCTAGTTGATCTGTCAGATGCTGAAGCCTTGCTCCCCACTGGAGGGGGCGGGGAGGGAGGGGGGATCGGGCATGCGGGAGTAGTTCGGCTTTTATCAACCATGATGTGTCATGCATTAGAAATGAGAAATGGAGATGTATCATATGCATGTGGAAATGTATCCTCACCCCATCCTCACCCCCCTCCCCCTCCCTCGCCCCATAACTCTTTTGTGTTGGAGTCAACTACTGGAATAAAACTGCGTCCTGAACGCTCAAGATAGGTGAGGGGAGCTAACAGTACCTAAGTAGTGCCCCTGATGTGGGTTCCAAAGTCATGATGTGCAATGGGCGAAGTGCTGTGTAACGATGGAGAATTTTCAGATGGAGGCATCGAGCCTTTTCGGATTATTACTGGGTACCAACTGGGTACTTTTCGTGTGGAACTATTACCTCCGCTATCGGCAGTATAGAGTGCATGCAATAAACGAGAAGCGACCAAAACATGTAGAAGATTTGATCTCTGAAGAGGTAAGTTGAGTTTTCTGTCATAGTAAACAACTTTCGAAATGTACTAGACCTGAGCACTTGATGGCTCCCAAAAATTAAGAGTGCCTCATGTTTTCTGACTTAATCATCCTAAATAGTGATGCTTAACCCAGTATGAGTTTACCTGCATTTTTACAACCGTTAGCTGAAGAGGGGGGATAAGTGACGAAGGGACGAATTTTGCGCTATTACTTGTGCCTTTTGCTAGCTCGGGTGAGCTAAGGAGGCTCAATGATTTATCTGAGTTCTTGCGAGGTTCAAAAGCGGGTTAGTATTACCAACAGGAATCACAGGTTTCACAAGCTGGCCAAGTGGCCTGAAGTGGCTCCGCAGAGTACCCATAGTGCCCCTACAGAGCCTAACTTCGTGAACCATTGTCTGTGCCTTAATAAGAATGTCGAATCGTACGAATAACTGCGAGGACATACGAATAACTGTGGCGTTTATCGGCTTGTGTTCTTTTGACATCCGATGTGCGAAATATGTCATTATTTTTCCGCGCTAAACGCTTTGACGCGTTGTAGCACTACCATCTTGAGGGACCAGGGTCGCAACGAGGGCGAATGACCTCGATAGTAACACCTCCTTTGAACTGCTAGGTACAGCCTATCGAATTCGTGGGGGAGGGGTACCATGCAGCAGGTAAGGTAGCAGTTTTACTTTCTACTGGTATGATCACCAGTAGAAAGTAAAACTGCTACCTTACCCTCTTGATATTACGTACCAACTAGGTTTACAAATACGACACCCCCCCTGCTCCCGACACGAATTCCTTAACGATGATATCTGCTCCAAGCAAATATAGAGAATTTATCGTTTTGTCTCATCCACCTTATTGGAATAGTCTGTTTCAGGAATACGAAAAGGCTCGTAGTTACAGTCTAGATAAGCACTTATTCGCCTTTGCACACGATTTGTATGGACAGATTTGGAGCACGGTACGTATGAACCCTTGAAATAACGTTATGTTCGCATCATAGGCATCAAATTGAAGGAAAATAGAGAATACTACTACAGTGGTCTTTCGAACACATCACGTATTTTCACGCCATCAGTGAACAATACAGATGCCAGGGCGTGTTCTGTCATTGGGGGAAATTTTGCAACACGCTACTATTCCATTGAATATTTCCTAATTTGGTAAGAGTAAGACCCCTCCCCTCTTCTACATCTCCCATCCCACCTGCCATCTTGCTAGCAGTCTTGCCTCTATGCAGCGGGGAAATCGTGAGGTAGAAAAATTTGGCAAGCAACTACGACTCCGTCCCTTCCGACCAAATGCTATTCCGCTCGATATGGGTCGTGACCCCAGATGACGTGTCCTGACTGATAGCCACAAGGCTTCCTTATAAACAGCCTCGAAGACTTTTTCATGGCTTATTTTTCGAATACACCATGGATTATTGTTGCACTACTCTATCCTCGAATGATCGGATAGATTTCTTTCGTATTCCTTCCATCCCCTTTTAATCCATTTGTTCGTTCAGCGGTTCTTCTTGCTCTTCTCTTAGCTATACAGAAGAGTTCTCCCTATGCTAGTCGCCTTTACTCTCCTTATTTTGCCGAATTCTAGGCGTAGGAGACACATAAACGCTTGAGCTAGTCTGGTGATCGACTCGCGGCATTTGCAAATTAAAAGAATGGTACTTTCGGCGCATTTATATCCCTTTCTGAGATACTCCTTGCTGCCCAGCTGTTTACAGAATCGTAGTAGCGCTTGAGTGTGGATTGGCCTATGCAACAGTGTGGGGCCAGCTGGCGTGTTTTGTTACTACCGAACAATTCTGTTACCAACTCATCGGCTATAGAAGGATGGGAGAATTATTGGACGATAGCCTACCCGATACCTGACTCCGCCGTGCGCGTGAAGAGTGGCTCCTCAACCAACTGCACTGCAACCACATCACGGTGTCCGTACTTACAACATTTGCCAGTGATTATTCTGCAACGTGAAGAAAATTCTGTTGAATCCGGACGGTATATCACGCAAGGAAATGGCTTCTTCCCACTTTCGATAGAGCCTCGAATGCTGATTACGAATATGCAGATTAAAAGTGCTACGGGGACCTCCCAGACGAGATCTGGGCGGTCAAAGTTTGCGAAAACTCAGTTTTGGCTCGTAAGCGCTGCTGATCGATCGCTGGCAGTGCCACCGTGGCCTAGTGGTGACGGTCTCGCTTCAAAGCCAAATGCCCGTGGGTTTGCATCCCGTTGGCGCCTTGGCACAAAAAAATTTTGCTTCGCCTCCTCTGAGAACTTTTACTCTAATTTCTCTTCCAGCAGAGCGTAAGATCTATAGATCAAGTATATGTAGTGATCGAAAATGGATTTGGTCACTATCCAACTTCTAAACTTTTTACCCGCCCGACAACTCGAAGTTCACAATTTGGCAGACAAGCGTTTTCTTGAAAGGATGTAATGTTCGTGTTCAGGAGGCCAATTTCCCCCTGAACGAGTTTCTCGCTAAAACTTTGAATTGTCGGATGGGTAATATGTTCAGAGAGGGCAGATGACCAAATCCATACTAGATCGAGTACGTCATATACTTGATCTACTTGATCTACTTGCTCTGCTGGGCCGTAAACTCGGAAGAATTTTGAAAGTTAGAGTAAAAGCTCTTATGATAAAGCAAATATTTTTGGCGCCAGCGGGCTGCAAACCTATAAGCGTTTAGCTTTGAATCGAATCGTTACCCTTACGCCCCGATGACTCTGCCTAGTGATCGATCAGCAGCGCTTAAGAGAAAACTGAGTTTTCGCAAACTTTGACCACCCAGATCTCGTCTGGGAGGTCCCCGTAGCACTTTTAATCTGCATATTCGTAATCAGCATTCGAGGCTCTATTGTACCTAGGTCTCCATTCAAAGTTCCATGGGAAGTTGAAACCATTCCCTTGTAGACAGTCACTTGTACGATAAGTAGCGCGTGGTAAGTAGAGTGGTGTGTTCGAAGACAAAAGCTGCTTCATGAAAGTAAACGTTTTTCTTAACAGGTAGTTCTTGTGGGTGGTTGGCTGCCATGGATATGGTATAGATGCTATCCTTATCCGATGGCATCTGTCTTATTCCTCGTGACGACTTCGTTACTTGATGCGATTATCGATTTACCATGGGACATGTACGACACTTTCGTCATCGAGGAGAAACATGGGTTTCAACAAACAAACCATCGGTTTCTACTTCTGGGATAGGGTGAGCAAGACTCACTTTAGTTTAGGTTGTTCTGTCAGTTTTAGCAACGCTTGGATAACTAGCGATGAAAGTGTTTGATTTAGTTGAAAAAGATGGTACTGTTAGTGGTACTTATGACTCCGGTGGTCCTTGTTGTCGAATGGATAGTTGAGAATGGAGGTCAGTTTGGCCTTTTCAATTTGAATAGTCTTCCTACTCGAGTTTTCGTAGGAATTGTACGTCAGATGTATACCTCGATAATCTTTAGGCCCATACTTCTTCGTATATGTGTGGATTTTCGTGTCTGTAGTTATGCTTATATTAATGACAGTATACCCGGCATTCATTGCGCCCTTATTTGACAAGTACATTCCTCTTCCTGAAGGAGAGTTGAAGGTTAGCCACGTTGAATCACGTGCCAGACTATGCCTCAAATTTTTCTTTTTTCTATTTTAGGTGGCTATAGAAAAACTAGCGGCTTCACAGAAGTTCCCTCTTACGAAGTTGTATGTTGTCTACGGTAGGTTTCTGTTATCTGGAATCTTTTATTTTCGTAAATTATGTGCAATGTCATGCATGAATCTGTTAAGATTTGCTGTTGTTGTGCTAGTTAAGTACCCTTTGGACAATTACTTAAAGGCAGCTCCCGCGCTCAAGTGATCCGCGAAATGCATCCGTGTATTTGGCATTGTTCTCTTCATTCTCAGAGAGTACACCTTTTTTGCCACTAGAAAGGGTGGGATAAAGAAGCTAGAGAGGCGTGATTATTGCAAACATGATTGCTTTCACTCTGCAATACAACACAAATGGAATTGCGTGTGTACATAGCGTTGCCTGGAGCGTCGTATAGTGAGTTCCTAGCTTTTGCCGGGTTTTTGCTTATTTGTCGGATCGTGCTGATCGGGAAAGAAAAAGGAGTTGAAGAGTGACTTGCCGACGTCCGACAAACTCGTCCAGGGGGTCGGCCTCATTTCGATGAATTTGCTTGAGAATCTTTCAAGGTGGAATTCAGTTCGGAGAAGGTCAACCAGTACTGTCTCGGTAAAAATAAAATAAAAAATAAAAAAAAAAAAAAAAACAAAAAAAAAAAAAAAAAAAAAAAGTAAAATGGCGCAGACGAGATGCTCTGGCTAGGCCGTGTGGCTTGTCGCGTTCCGGATGTAACTTTGAGATGACAAGTGTCTACACTTATTTTCTCATGCAAAGTGGTTGTGCGACTGCAGCCTCCCCCCCTCGCCTCACTGAAGTAAACAGTAATAATGTGTCTATAGGTAGTATCGCTGGCTCTCACAGGTTCAAAACGTTCCCTCTTATAGGTTCGAAACGTTCCGCTCACAGTAACGCCTACATGTATGGTTTCTGGAACAGTAAACGAATTGTACTTTATGACACACTTCTAAGTGGAGAAGAGAAGGAAAAAGTGATGGCGCAGTGTGCAGAAGCTGCAGCGGAAATGACAGACAAGGATAAGGTAATTTCTACTGAACATATGAATCTGTTTTATATTTTTTCTGTACTGAATACCAATCACTATTCAAGGCTCGTGGAATGACTAACGATGAAGTGGTTGGTGTGCTTGGGCATGAACTCGGCCACTGGGCTCTTTGGCACTCCATTATCAATTTAGTTATTGCCGAAATAAACATATTCTTTATGCTAGCAGTGTTTGCCTATTTCTACCGATGGGAACTCCTATACAAGGTGATTTTTCATGACGTTCCCCTGAGATTTACGGACATTTTAACCGAAAATCAAAATGAAAATGTTCAAGGCATTCGGATTCCATACGACACCAATAATTGTCGGTCTGATCCTGGTATTCCAGTTCGTTATGGGACTTTACCATCAGGTAGGTCACGAGAGTTGAGTAGGCGATACTGTAGTCCGCTTTTCTGCATCCTGATACGGAGAACTTACGTACCTTTGTTGTCTGCTTTTTTTTCTGAGCTTTAGTGTTGAGAAGTGAATTTCTGATTTCTCCGCGTCGGCTACTGAGTTTCATCGACTGTAGTCGAAATATATCAGAGCGGAGAAGGGACGTTCTGGCGACAACCCATTCCTCTAGTCAACGCCTTTCTCAGCGTTCTGGCAGCCACTCCTCTTATTGTCTTCAGGGACTACAGTAGCGCTTCTAACCACGTGCTAGACTCTCTTTACTTATCATGAACTGTTTCAGGTTACCGACGTGGCTATGTCAATTTACTCGCGCCGCTGTGAATTTGCAGCTGATGAATATTCAGTTAAACTGGGACATGCTGATGCCCTCATCAGCGCCCTAGTGAAATTGGGCAAGGTAAGAATCACCTCTCATAGTATTTTCGCTGAATTTGCCCCTTATTCTCGCTAAGGTGTGTAACAAAACAATTTTAACACATTGCGGACCGCCGTACTGCGCGCATCTCCGGACCATTCTGTCATTTTTCATAAGTTTTTCATCAGTGAATTTCTCCCTTTTTCGAGTCGCTTATGGGGTAAGTATCTTCGCAAGATCCGTATTTCCGTGTTTTGTTTCCGTGTTTCCACAACAGTGGGTCATGAGAGGAGAGCCAAATCGGTCAAATAAAACACCGCATAGAGACAAACTTATGACGCACCATGTGTGTCACGCGGTCCGGAACGTGTTAACGTATCGTGCGGGCAAGGGTTAGGAGCGGCGCCACGCGCGACACACGAGTTGTCCTGTTTGACCATTCAAATAGAGGGATCAAGGAACAGGGAAACTAGTTATAGCTCTTTATGGGGCTTGTCTCTGCTTAAAGACAGCTCCCGTGATAAAGGTATCATGGATAGTTGCTTTTCAGTTATTCAGTTTTCAATTAGTGCTTTTCAGTTCGAACCAGTAACTGTTAAGTAATTCTCCAAAGAGGAAAAAAAGCAGAAGAGTCTTCAAGAACACTATAAACAAAATCGCTCCCTGACATCACCCCACCCTGCGGTCTCTGTGCAACCCCTAGCTCACAAATCCCTTTATCACATTTCCCAGTAGTGAATATCAGTCAATAAAAAGGAAAGAATACGAAGAAACAACAAAACACGGAAGAAAAACTCTTGAAAAGGAAAAGAAACTTTCAAAAACTCGGCGTCCTGAATTTAGGGTTACGGTAGCGTGCATCTTTTAGTGTAGTGCGTCGAGCTTTTGCACCACGAAAATTGGGTCGCTCGTGATTTTTACGCGTTTTACCTTGCGAGATGGGTTGGAGTTGACTGTATGTGCTCCTAATGAATAAAATGTAATGAAGGAGAGCAGAATTATTCATGGGCACGAGCGCGGTCAGCAAAAAGGACATGCAGTTCCGATTAATGCCCGCCGCCCCAACAAAGAACAACTGAGCGGCCTCCGTCAGAGGGCATCTAGCAAGTGGGCGGTCCAACTGGGCGGGCGTTAGAACTAGAAGGTCGGCTATAGCTCGCTCCTCGCTCGCTGAGGAGTCGCGAGAGTGGGACAGCCTCAGCTTGGAGGCTGTACTACCTGCGCAAGGAAGGACCATGCACTAAACTCGAAATCCCTGAGATCGGGTAGGCGTGGCCGCATGTTTCAACTTAACCTGAAGGTGTCTATGCTTCTGGTGAGATATTTTCATCTTGACACAATTGTTGTCGTGTCTCTGTCCAACACAGAACAAGATGACAGTTGTCCCAGACTGGAATATTCCACGAGTAACCAATTCCGTGCCATGTTCAAATGCCACGCCTACTCTGGCTCAGGGATAAGGAGTGTACTTGAGCGCGGGGGCTGTGTTGAAACTCATGAGTTTTACTGCTCCAACCGACTGTCATATGCACATCGAGGGCTCGCATGCGTGGCCACACGGTACGTCGCGCGCGGCGACGCGGCAAATTACGATAATCTTGTCCATCACCACCTTGTTGCTGTTCGGATCACATTTGTTAAGTGTCACATTTCAGGATAACCTTGTACCACCCATCGACGACCCGCTTTATTCTATGTGCAACCACTCACATCCACCGATTTCGGAAAGGATCGAGGCAATCAATAAGAAGAAATGATTTTGATGTTCTAAATTTAGCGCTATTGCACCGCCGTACGATTCGCTT